CTGTTGCTGTTGAAGTTTAGAGCGAGCAAATTTCCTTGGATCAGCAACACCTACAACCTGAAGTGGTGAAGAGTAAACACAACAAAGATATTTATTTGTCCTTTTTTATATATGTGAATAATCTACTCTGTAACCACCTTCATGGTGGCTGTAGAAGGAGAAAAACACAAACTAAATTTGGTCACAATAAAGAGAAAATGGATTTGAGGATCTTCTATTGTGACATGAACTTTTCTCAGATATTTTTTCATGAGTTTCTTCTCAGTGATCTTGAGATTTTCTGATGTCAGAAGACGTTTGTGTCACTACTGTAAATTATCAACACAACCCACAACAATGCTCTATCCACTGAATTTGCCTCCTCTGGGGCTACAGATCGAGGACCCCCTCTCTCCTGACCTTCATGCGTTCCGGATGGATGGTTGCAAACTTGGAGTAGATCTCCCCTCGACATCCAGCTCCCACCACGACCACGCTGACCGGGGAGGTCATTGTGGCTCCCTGTGACCTTTAACCCAAACACACACCTCGCTCAATGCAGGGGAAGATAATACACCAGTCAGTCAGGCTGTTCACCTCGACTGCCCCTAGAATATGACATCATTCACTAGGTACAGATGATCATGATTTGAGGTTGCAATCACAACACCCCTGTATCCATCTAAATACACTAGTTAAACCTCTTTATAAACAGTCTATGGGTTAAACACACTAGCGTAGTGAGAATACAGAGTCCATGTGTTGGACAGTGTTTCTATGAATAATGTCTGTCGGTCTGAGACATGTCTGCTTGGATCAGTACCTGCTTGGTCCCACACACCTGTCAAGACCTCCTGTGTGTGTACGTGTCTCCCGCGCTGGTCCAGTCAATGGTCAACAACAGAGAGCTCACTTCTTCGTGCACTGAATACAACCTCAAAGCAGTCATGACGTGTCCCAGCGCCCCCTATAGTGAGGAGGAGGTACAGCTGCTGCATTCACAGCTGCTCGGAAACGGCGGCTTCTTAGTCTGAAAATCCCACTTTACCAGGAGATTGTTAATTAATCTGTGTTAAAGGAAGATGGAAAATGTATTAACTTTATAGGCATCATTCCGAGCTGAATAAAAAAAAGTTTTTTAATAATTGTGAAATTAGACAAAATAACCAATCACCAGGACCTTATTTTATACAAACAGACTCTCACAAGTATAATCACATTCTGTATGAGTTGTTCATTGTTTGTTTCCCAGCCTCTGAAACAAATAATTATATATGTATACACATATTCATACAGCACACTCTTCACTTTGGTTTTACACTTGCATCCTCTAATCATTTATGTTAGATGTTGCTTTTACATTTGATTTATTTTTAAATGTTTATCTTTATTCTATATGTTATTGCTCTTTTGCATCGCTAAGATGACCTGTCCTCGTCCAACAGTATATTGTACTGTTGACCCTGTGTTCACTTTCACATGACAAATAAAAACTAGAAACTTGTTCTTTGTGTTTTAGGTTTCTTAAAAAGAATAATATATTTCCACGTAAAGGTCAACGATTGTCCCCTTTTGGTTAAATGTATTTGCCCTCCATACACTGAACAGTTGCTTCTCAGAGAAAAATACTTCAGTGGTTTATATATTGTGTATTTTGATTTGTGTGTTTTTTGGGATCCTCGGAGATCTTCGGCTGACTTCGTCAGAGCCGATCCACACAGCTAGCGTCACGTGACGCGACTAGCTCTGCAGTGTGAGCTTAGCTTTGTGCAGCTCGGTAACAAACTCTCTGACGCTAGCTAACGCTCGTGTTTGTTATTTTAATCTCATATATTTAAAAAAAAAAGCAGCTCGACTCTACAACAAACTACTTTATACAACCCGTCCTTAGAGCTATACGTTAGAGGTGCTGCGCTTTTGGGCATATTTGGACTTTTCTTCGTGCTAGCTAGCTACGGTTAGCGCGTTAGCTAACATTAACAACAACATGAACATTGACAACGTTAATCAGTCTGTCACAACGGGAGTGCCATCCACGACGTCTTCAACTTCAAGTAACTGTATCGCAAACGATAATGCAACATCCAACGTCAGCAGCATCCCTTCGGTCACGAGTAATGGTAACGTTATATCACTTTGGCTAATGTTGTGCTAAAGTCTTAGCTCAGTTCAAGGTGGGAGAGATGTTTTCTGCCCAGGGTGGATGAGTTTGTTAGCTACACGGGGAGAGATCAAGCTAATGCAGTCTATTCCAACAGTCCTGTGTCTAAGTCTATTCATTAAGGTTATAATCTTCAGCTTCTATTGAAAGTGTTTTAGATAAGTGTTGACTCAGCAGTATTATCGTTTGAATGACTGTGGTGCCGCTGAGTTGTATTGAATTGAGTGGGCATTATAATCTAAGTAAAGGCAGAATTTATTCGAGGACTGCTGTGTCAGACTGCATTTGTTAAGATCAATGTTCTTAATAAACTGACATCTTATTGTAAATGGAAGTGCTAAAGCATCTTTCATGCCTGTATATATGGATTTAGGATTTTGTGCAACACCTTTTAGCAAGCAGTGTTGGGATTTAGCACAAATATTGCAGGTATTAAAACAATTTTGTGTCTTTGGTTCAAAATAAACTAATCTCAGTAAATTTTACAGCTTCCACGTCAGCGGCCATGGTGACACCATCCGTAGACACATCTGTCTCCAATGGCGTCTATTTGCCCGGCGGCATCACTAACGGAGATGTTAAACCTTCCATCTCCACCACACCCCTGGCGGATTTTCTCATGCAGCTGGAAGAGTACACTCCCACAGTAGGTCAAGTGTTGTCAGTCACCTTGTGTAATACTGCGTTCACACATGGGGATACTTGGTCAGAAAGACCAGGAACTCAAAACATTGCCCTGTTAATGCTGGAAACACCTGAGTGTTTCTGTTGTGAGTACAGAACTCACTAATAACCAACACTAAAAGTCACAAAACTGTTTGTATATAAAATGTATAAAGATGGGTACAGTTATCTGTTTTTGGCTCATTCACTGAAATAATCAGAAAATCAAGATTCTTAATCACATTAACAACTAAGACTTGTAGATTCAATACTGCCATAAGATACACTGTTGAATAATTTGCCTCAGTATAATCAGTGTAGTATAATGATCAAATACTTTTCAATAAAAGAAGAGAATCAACTCCATATCCACTTTTATATTAATGTTCTTAGATATACTTGTCCATTGAAGTGAAAGAAGTTTATGTGAAACTTGACCAGAAGATGAAATCTGCTATTTTTTTCTTTTTCAGATTCCTGATGCAGTTACAGGGTACTACCTCAACCGGGCTGGCTTTGAGGCCTCTGATCCAAGAATGTAAGTCATGCAAAAGTTACCTGCAGGTTTCAGTGAGATTTTGCCTGATATCCAAAATCAGCTAAACATGCTATGCCTTTGTAGAGTCTTAAAACTGATTTTGTCCTGTTGTGCTTAAGCAATATCTGAACAACAGCTGGGACAAGCAAGGGCCACAGTTTGTTAACTGACACATTTGAATCTGGAATTGAGAAAATAAACAATCTACTTTTAAAGTGATCACAAGGAATCATACGTATTGAGGCGATTTCTTCCTAATAGTCTGCATCTACCTCAGATTATTCTAAAGGCACAGAGCATAAGTCACCCAGTGGGGTGAAAATGAAGCCAGAGTAACAGGAAAAGGCTCAAAATAATCTCTGGAGCTGGTTATCTTTTTCTATTCTGGAGTCTACAATAAACAAATCCTGGCCCATGGTGTCAAGGTAGGAGGAGGTTATGGACAAAGCTGCTTCTCCCAAAATAAACATCACATACACTTATTTACATCCTCACTTATTTTTCTACGGGAACAGTGAATGTTTAACGGGTTTGTTCAATAAGGAATGATAGATTGTAATTGATTGTTTGGTATTAGCCTTGGCACATTATGTTTGTCTACACATGTGACTTAGAGGAAGATCAGATCATATTTTGTGACCAATTATTGCAACAAAAAAAAAAGGTAAACCCAAAAGCTTGACTTACTTTTTCTTGCCACTGTACATTACTGTAGCAACTAATTTCCCATACTTACTGTCAAGAGCATGTATTGGCATAAAGTACAGACACTTAAAGCCTCGTAGGCCATTTATTGTCATTTTATGAAAGATGCTGTTGTCTGACGGCCTTGTTTTTTCCCACGATATTAGACATAATATGTCGATATGAAAAGGAAAAAGCACAGCAATCCTTTTTTTTCCCATCTCTACAGAATCCGACTGATCTCCCTTGCCTCTCAGAAGTTTATCTCAGACATTGCCAATGATGCACTGCAATACTGTAAAATGAAGGGAACTGCCTCAGGAAGCTCAAGGAGTAAGACAAAGGTATGTTTCTCTCATTTTGAACATGCACTTTAAGTATAATCCCTCCTGTATGTGAGGAAAAAGGGAGTGTTGGTTAAAGATGGTGACAGTTGTATCTTTTTTCTATTCATGGTGTTCATCTTTTGTCTCTTCCCTGTTAAGGATAAGAAGTACACTCTGACCATGGAAGACCTGTCTCCTGCCCTCTCAGAATATGGCGTCAATGTCAAGAAGCCATATTACTTCACATAGATCTGTTTTCTTTGAGGCTTTTTTTGCTTTTGCTAGGTTTATTGCCCTGCTGACCGATTAGCCTGTTAACAGCAAAAAATCTCTGTTGTTTGATGTCTTTTTTTTTTGGATCATCATACTTTAGTACAGCTTTGAGAAATCTTTGTAGTCACATTGCCATTTGTTATTTTTTGTGAAGCCACCACATTACATTTTATTGTGGAAATAAAATCCTTAACAAAAACCTTGACGTCTGTCATAGATGTTATATCTGGCGTTTGACAGTAATACATGATGGATGTTGACTGCAATAGTGGAAAGAGGTCTCTAGTGTCCAACACAAGTGGAAGTGCCTCTTTAAATGTAACTGAAACTTAACAGTGGTAACTCATTCTTTAAATTAAATTTATTTTTATAGTGCCAAATCACAACATATATGTTCCACAATCACTTAACATAGTAAGGTTGAGACCTTACAAAAGACAGAGAAACCCAACAGTTACCAAAACAAGCAACTTGATGATTGGAGAGAAAAAAAACACTTAATGGGAGGAAACCTTTAGCAGAACCAGACTCAGTGTGAGCAGCCATCTGCCTTGGCTGGTTAGGATTAGAGGAGGAAAATGGGGGAGAAGTAGAGGAGGGTTTGAAAGGTGGGGGGAAGTACGAGAGGAGAGACACCAGGAGTTGCTTAACAATCTTATTTAGTTGTTAAAATGAAAATAATAATGATACTTATAGATGTAATTATATTACTATAGCAGTCATTAATTAGAATCACTATTAGAGAGGGTAAATTGAAGTAAAAAAAAAAAAAATGTAATATTGCTTCGGAAAGGGTTTAACCTAAAGCCAGGTTACTTTTTTTGCTTAGTGTTTTGTTAACATACATGTTTGTGTCGGAGGCTGATGTAGAACAGCTGTAAATATTCCACTATAGGTAGTATTAGTGACTTTAAAAAGTGCAGAATTATAAATGGCAGGTTTTTGTCTCTGCCTGTAGTTAAGTTGACCACCAGGCGGCACCCTCAAAGCGCTTTTTCGCGATTGCACATTTTTGACCCCAATCGCGAACCGTAAACTGTCCCTCCCGAGCCTCCGTAGTGTCAAACCGGCGCATAGGCTGGATGTTCAAATAACTCGTGTCCACTGATTCAAACAGAGAATTAGAGAAGCCTCTCACAGCGAGAGAACCATCGACATGTCTGTTCAAACGACGAACCCCAACAACCCCATCGTGTTCTTCGACATCACCATCGGAGGGCAGGTGAGTGGAGCTGCTGGGACTTTAGCATCAAGCTAACGTTGCGTCAACGTCGCTCATCGTCATGAGTCGATCTGGTTCAAAGTTACAAACTACGTTGGTGGTGTTTTAACCTCTCCGTTTAAAAAACATACATCTACTGTGCGACGACGCATCGTTTACTTCTCTATCAGCTGCTTATGTTGTGGTGTTTATATTGGCCATCACTGAGATGGAGGTTATTGTTTTGAGCAAGTTGAATACTGTCTTCCGGTTCTGTCTTTTTAAAACAGAGATGATGGTTATGGTTAAAATAATAACTAACATTCTCCCAAAAAGAGATGAATAAACGGAAATGTCTTTTCTTGTAGCCCCTGTCCTTGAACACAACACGTAACTGGAAACACGTGACTTTTTGGGAATTACAAATGTCTCTGAAGCTAAATAAACCTGACCTGATACTTCACTCGATTAAGAGAAGTTCACTTTAATGCACAACTAGGGCAAAACAGTATCAATAAAATCTCAACATAATCTTCATAATAAAATAATTGAACAAAAGTCCAATATGTATTGATAATATACTTAGTTAGGAGGTAAAACCCAACTGATTTGCTGTATATCAAGTGTTTGTCATTTTCTAACAACAGTTTAAAGCCCCATCCTTCACTCAGATGTAAACATCTTTGTGATAATTATTAGTATTGACTGATATGAACATCTTAATGATGTTTGGCCTTATTGTCCAGCTCTATGCACAAATCTGAACTTATTTCACAATCTTTAACATTTTTAAAATTAGAAAGTAGGTAATCATCCAACCTATACTGCCCCTTTCCCCACCATTGATGCTGATCTATACTTGTATAGATATAAAACAAAGCAGAATCTCCTCCATTGGATTCTCGTCCTTGACTTCTGGTTCTTTGAGTTTCTCCTGTGTGTTGTAATGTTCACGGTGCAAAAGCTGAAACTTTTCAAATACGTCATGGATTTGATACAAATATCTTGGAATGAAAAAGTGGTGCAGTGCATGTAAGATGCCAAAGACAAGATTAGAGAGCTTTTGTTGAAAATTCACAAAAAAAAAAAAATCCAAAGTGAACTTCATACATCACTTCTGCATTTTCTACCCAGGTATCGATGGCACTTGAGATTTTTGTGTTTTTATTAACTTGTCTGACTTGGACAATCTTTTGCTGTGTTCCTCATATGTGAAAGGCAAAGTCTGGATATTGTCTGGACCCATTTATCTGACATTTTCTGGAGTTGATTTTCTGAGCTATATACTAACCTTCTGTGCATGACACAGACTTTGTGATAGTTTGTCATTCCTTGGGTCTGCTACTTCACATCAAAATATTTTTTTACCATGAAATATTTATGACTAGAATTCAGTAATGTGAGAAAAAACATATTCAAAATGCAACTGCCATGATAACAAAGTGGATTGAAATTTGACTTTGCAAGCTCATCCAAACAAAGACAAGAGGAAAATGCAATACAATCAAAACACCCTCAGGTATTCACAGGTACAAATATGTAGCCTCATCAGGACTGTGTAGGTTGATAAGTTAAAGGCGAACCAGTTGTTTTTAGATTTGGTTTGGGACTTTGTGTTCCAATTCAAAATTGTTTTGTGCAAGTCAATATTTTCTAATGTTGTTAAAGGTTTGTTATTTTTGTAAACAGAGTAAAATAGACCCACCTGTATATTTTCAATTTTGTCTATCAGGGACACAAAATACCAAAATGTTTAAAGTTCATTCTTGACCTCCTAGACAGCAGCTGAGCAAACGGTTCCATCTGCATCCCTCCTGCAGCTTTTTGATCATAACTCACTATCTTCATCAATGGCAGAAATGAACATTCAACCTTTTCGTATTGGTGGAGATTAGGCCTAGTGTGGCAAAGGGTAGCAAAATAAACATAATTTAGTGAAAGAAACTGTGTTTCTGAATATTTTTATTTAGACACACCATTTTAAAACATCATAACATATCATTAACATCACGATTTCCCAAAGTCCTAAATCATCTTTAGAGCTGTATAACAAACATATAAAAGTACAGAGAATATAAAATGTGTAGTTATTTCTGTAAATATTTACAAACGTTTTGTATTGCAGTTTTTTTTCACAGTACTTTGCTCCTCTCTAAAAAATTCATCCATCTCTATGTATGGTAAATGGAGTTTTCATTATCATCACATTCACATAAGTAAACAATGTGTAGTGGATACATACAAGTCTTGATTCACTTCCCTATCTCATGGTTTTCAACTCTGTCAGTTCTGTGATGTAAGAAGTTTATTGGAGAACATTTGATGTCAGATGTAGAAAAGATGGTTCCTCTTCCCTTCTGATGGATTAAACACAGCTGCAGGGGGTTGCTGCTGCCATGTTCCTTTACTCAAATGCCAGAAAACATGCCATAAACATACATTTTCAGGCAGATGGCAGTATGGCCCAAGCGACCTGCTCTTTACCCAGAACACCACTCCCACCAGTAAGCTGTTGGTGCACTCGATCCACAGAAGGTTAACAGTGATGTAGGCAGGCACTCCAAAGCCGAGGACCAGACAAGCCACAGACACTGTGAGATAAGGAATCCAAAATAAAGAAAAGCCCAGAGTTAGACTGAGCCACAGGGGCGGTCGTTGCCAGTTGGTCTCCCCCAGATCATTTTCCTTACTGCTTTTTGTCTCAGTGGACGGGCTTACAGTGAACAAGTCGCTCCTCTGGTCCACATGTTTTTCCCTCAATTCAGATAACCTGTTGGCTTCCCTCACCCACATGGGAATGCTTGTTGAAAAGGGCAGCATCGTCAAAGTTACTGCAGCAAAAAGCCCCAAAAGGAAGTATGTAATCAGCATGGACTCCTTTTCCTCACACACCAAAGCCTTTACTGCTGTCACAGTAACCAGTTCCATCAGCTCAACTTTTGCATAAGCAATGGAGTAAATAACAGCAAGCATCCACACCAGCAATGTCAAGACCACGTTCCTGAGAAATTTGCAAAAGGTGTTCTTATTGGCAAGGCAGGCATCTTCTATACAGTAGTCAATTATACCCAAGCCAATCACCGGCAGGGGCAGTGCTTCAAATGTTGCTGCGGTGTGAGCCAAAACAAAGCAGGGGGACAGAGGAGACCTCTCAGGCCCGAGAAGCCACACAGCTGTCATACAGAGCACCATCGCCAGGTCGGCGAGGACGATGGACAGGCTGCACATGTTCAAAAAGGAGGTATACAGCTTCCGGCAGCATAGGACAAAGACCACTGTGTCTATTCCCAACTTTATAAGCATAAGCGACAGGTACTTCCCAGTGTTGTCTATTTTGTAACCAGACCTCTCATCCCATTGCTCCAAGATAGCTAGCATTTTGAAGGTGTGGCTAGTATCAGGATACACTGGCAAGTCTGGCAGCATTGAAGTTATCGGCAGTGCTCAGGTCAGCATAAACACGTTCCAGGGATTGCTGTGAAAGGCAAGATAATATTGGATATGGTCAATAATTAAAAACAACAAGCGTGTAGGTGTGGCATGTGGACAAACTTTAGTTGGTCATGCTGGGAAGGTGTGTTTGATTAGGTATTAGGTTTCCGCAGATAAAAAGTTTTCAGCCAAAGTCGAGCGGATGTATATGCATCTGGTCTCATAATCAATATAGTCAGTAGCTCCCAGAGGAAAGTTTTACTGCACAAACTAAGTTTGCTCTTCTACAGCGCAGGAGACAAACGTGGCATCCTCACTTCAGCCTCTTTCTATTCTATTTTATATATATTTTATTTAATATGTAATGTATTTCTCATATTCTCACATGGACTTTTCTAGAGGAACATTTTTGCATCATTACATGTATTTTTTTATGTAGCCAATCTGATGCCAAAATGTAGACAGTGATGTCAATAACTGAAGGGGTGAAGTGAAAGGATCGCTCCCAACACTTCCCCCACTCTTCAGGAGAAATGAAACAAGTCATTTGGACTTGAGACTTGAAACTTAAGAGAGAAATGGTATCTTCCTTTAGTCTTAAGTCTCCCTTAATTTTAGGATCAAAATGTGAGAAGCATATTGGACAAAACAGAAATTCAAATGAGGCTGGAGAAGTGAGACTCACACTTTTGTCTCTCAAGCTGTAGAAGAACAAACTATGAGCAGTAAAATTTTCCTCAGGCCTTAAAAACAGTTCCACAATTTAGAATGACCGTTGCTCTCTTCCCCTTTGCTCTATGTTATATTTTATAAATATATATATATGCATACAGATCTTATGATGCAGTGATATTTGTTTCAGCTCGGGTGGCCTGCCTCTGCTGCAGATCAGTAAAAAATCTTGATACAAATTCTAGTTTTGCTTTTTAAATCTGTACACTAAAAGCTCTGCTTTTTGAATGGTTATGAAACTTTAGCCTATGAGTGATAAAACATCCATAGTTTGCTGATATACGTGAGGAATATTCTGTCATGCAAATGTTACTTTCATGAAAATGTGTCCAAACAAAATATAGAGAGATATAGACTGACCTTAAACTGTCAGAGGAAACATTTGATGGTAAATGCAAATGTTTATATTATTAGTATTAGTATTATTAGTATCATTTATATTTATTTAAATGTTTATATTAACATTTTATTCATTTAAACAGGTATAAGGTTAATGTAGAGTAGTTGCCAGTGTTATATATCCACATCTTTTTTCCACTTTTCTGTCTAAGGAAAAGCCAGAACACTGATCTCATTCTACCTCACAATTTTAAATTTAAAACACAGATGATTTTCACTAGCAATATACGTTTTTCTGTAAAATAAATTATAATAATTAATAACTGCAGTTCACTTCTGGAATATGTTGTTTACTCACTTAAAATGAAAACATAGCTTTTATCTTTTCATCAGTTCTGACTTCCCTTTCCCTTTTAAAGCAGTAGACACATTCATACTACATGTACTTTTAAAATTGATGACAGGTACAACGTGTTAATTTGAAGTATGAAGGAATTATTCAACAAGGTGAAAGAAGTAAGATATTGTGTAGCTCTAAGAAGCCTATACCTCTGTGCTCAGGATTATCGTCGTCCAGTGAGACGTAGTAGACGTACAGATGCTCAAGTCTTGTCCAGTGATGCAGCTTAGAGTCCTGTGTGTGCTCGTCACGTCTCGTCTGTGCAGGTCTGTGAGTTCTGTCAGGTAGACCTGTCCTCTATAGCCCCACCTTTTCTGTTGTGAATGCAAACAACTGATTGGACACGCCTATGTTGTCTTTAAGGAAATCTGCTTGTTTTCCCTCCCATACGCCCCAGAGGTGACAACCTCTTGTTATGTCCATTTGCATATCCAATGACTGGTAACCTGGATTCACTTCCTCATAACAACGCTTGCTGGTTGAAACCAAACCCTGTCACAGGTTTTGTTTGGGGCTTACGCCGTGTCCCTATACAATTACATGACAATCCAAGGAAATGGCATCAAATGCTGCTTGTTTGAGGCCTGAAGTTGCTACCTGACTGTAAGAAAAACAGCTGGTTTGTTGTCCTTTCAATGAAATTCTCAGTTTGTTCAATGTGTCAGAGCACAGTCAGAGGTTATGACTAACTGTACTTAACCTCTGGATATTGTATTATGTTAGAAAAATACTCCACATGCTAAAGGGGTGAAACGTGTAATGTTTGCTTTAAATGATTGTTTGCCCTCGGTGTGAATACTAAGTGTCAATAAAAGACTAAGTGGCTCGGGGAGATGGCGGCTGCATCTGGACTGTGAACCCATTAAACACGACTTAGGTGAAACCCACTGGCTTTTGTCTTAATCTGTTCAGGGCTCATTACACCTTTTCTCATCTTCCTCAGGATTTTAAATTTTAAGTTTTCAATTCGACACTCTCATACCAGCCCAATAAAAGTAGTTCATCAGTATGGATCTGCCAAGGTGGGAACACTATAGTCTACGTTTGTCTCACTTGATAAAAGCTGTCTTACCGGTTATTGACTTTGGTGGATGTTGCCCTCCAGCCACAGGAAACCCTCGGCAGCTCAAATGTTTGTTCCATGTTACTCTGCCTCTGTGTGTCATTTTGTCACTGGGATATTTTATACTCCGCACGGCCGTCGTAGCAAAGATGGGAGTGTTTTACAGTGAGTCGGCTGCATGGAGTGAAGGGACAGTTGTGCAGTAATGTCATGAGGACATCTTTTTACACCAGCTCATTGTCTGTGTCCACACACAGGCGTTGTTGTAGTGGTCGGCCACTTGCATTCCCCCCACTGGTTTGAGGGAAGCCTGGGTGCACAGACACGCAGGCACACACACAGACAGTTTAATGTCCAGTAATGTTTTACATCAATGATGTAGCATGTTCCCATTTACATATTTTTATTATGCATGCTTTGACCACAGGGAAATGGTATCAGTGGTGGTTAAAGTGCCACATATTGTTGAAATGAAACAGCGTCGACTTATTGTTGTCAGTGAAACCAACAGAGAAATTAAATATGTAAAAGGAATCAGTTTACATTTAAATGTGCACGTAAAGACAGAAATGAAGAAGACTGATTGAGAATGATTTTCTAAACCATTTATTAACAGGAGGAGGAACAGTCTGTATCAGTAGATATTAAACATATTTCAGGTTCAGCTGGATGCTGTTGCCAAGTACAATAATAACCTGTTAATCCAGACAAGGCCATGAGTATTATAGAAAGAATTCTCCTTTTGGGTGTGTATGTTTTTGTCTTCATGATATATCATTTTGTGTGTTTAACTGTTTGCAGGATGTTGGACGGATGAAGATCGAGCTGTTTGCTGATGTGGTTCCAAAGACAGCAGAGAATTTCAGGTGAGGAGAAAGATGATGTATTTTATCTTCATGGCAATTCGCATTTAAATTTTTTTATTTTTTTTTCAAGTGTTGTAATGGAATAGACTTTCTGAGTTTTCAGAGTTGTTGCTTACAGTTTCATCATCTCTTGCAGGCAGTTCTGCACTGGAGAATTCAGGTAAGGCAGTAAAGGTTTTTTTCACCAAAACACTAGAGAGGAAACGTGCTACACATTCATCCCAGCATTTAATAAGAAACAACCTGACATTTGAAACATGACACTGCTCCCTGTCTCAGGCTAAAGGATAAGGAGAAACCTGGTTAACACAATAGGTTTCTGTAGGTCACATCCTATGCCTAACCAGATCTCAGGAGTGCTTACATGTATATCAAAGAAGCATGGGCCTGCTTCTGTGTGGCTTCACTGAGCACATGACTCTTCCTGAATAACTAGTATCACAGAGCTGGTTATCAAGTGACTCAGTGTGTTCATGCAAAAGAGGCAGAGTTGTTCATGACAGGTGGCATTGTTGGAACCATTCTTAAAGGGATAGTTCACAGAAAAATTCAAATTCAAACCACAACTTTTTGCAAATCACTTTAGGAGTTTTAGGGAAGTCAATGGTATATTTATATTTAATACCTGCATGTCAATTAAGTAATGGTGACAGCAAAAAGTGATATTCTGCATACATGCACATGAAAAATATGATCCCATAA